CCGGAGTTCTTTCCCTTTTATTCCATTGATTCTTCCTTTGCACTTACCTCATTTTTTAAAATAACTTTTTTTGGTTACTGCTATGTGTATACACACACACACACACACACACACATATGTATATGTGTGTATATATACATATACATGCATACACACACACACATATATGTATATTCTGTTCCTCATTAGATTGTATACTCCATGAAGGCAGGGACTGTGTCATCTTCCCATTCCTACAGATAGAAGGTTATAGTGAGAGGATATAGAGCTCCCCAAAGCCAGGAAGACCTGGGTTCAAGTACAGCTTCTGAAACAAAGTGACTGGACCAGCATTTTCTCTGACTGTCCCCCATGCCTGGAATGCTCCTCTTCTCAATTCCATCTGTTGACTTCCCTGGCTTCCTTTAAGTTTCAACAAAAATCCCATTACAGAAAGCCTTTCCCAATCCCTCCTAATTCTAATGCCTTCTCTGTTAATTATTTCCTATATATTCTGTATGTAGCTTGCTTTGTATGTATCTGTTTGAATGTTGTCTCCCCCATTAGATTGTAAGCTCCTTGAGGGAAGGGACTGTCTTTTGTTTGTTTTCATATCCCCAATGCTTAGCACAATGCTTAATAAGTAGTAAATGCTTAATAAATATTTTTGATTAATTGAAGTCACTTAACTTATAGTATTTTAGGCCTCTCTCTAGTACTGTGCATTTCAGAGAAGATACCAATCTACATTGGAAATTTCCTCACCTGAGAGCTCCCCAGACCAAAGAAAGCATAGATCTGAGCTCTATCCCTGTTCTATTCCCAGTGCAGGTCTTTATCATTTCTTCCAGTTGGAGGTCTACTTTTCTTCCCACTCCATACATCCTCCATACAAGCTTTCAAAGTGATTTACCTAAAATACAGATTTGATCTTGTCATTCCTCTATTCAATAAACGCTAACAGCTCTCTATTGCCTCTAGAATAAAAACATAAGCCCTTCTGTTAGTCTTTTAAAGTCTTCTACAACTTGGCTCTACCCTACCTTCCTTTCCTGTATTCTACAGGCCAGCTAAACCATCCTTCTTGCTGCTAAGGCATGACACTCCACCTCCTTTGTGCCCATACCTTTTCTCTGGCTATCACCCTTCTGCCTCTTAGGATCCCTTGTTTTCTTCAAAACCCTGCCCCAAATGTTACTTTTTTTTTTTTTTTACAAATGCCACTGTTCCTCAATTTACCTTACATTTATTGTATGTGTGCATAACTCCTCCAAATGTAAACTGGAAATATTTTCACCTTTGTATCCCTAGCATGAGCACAGTGTTTGGCACATAGCAGGTGCTTAATAAAAGCTTGTAGACTGATATTGCTAAGCCATCTATTGGTGTTTGATATTTGTCTAACAAAAATTCAAATGAAACACTTCCTCCTGTAGCCAATCAATAAACATTTATTAGGTAGCAACAATGTTCCAGGCATTATGCTATGAGCTGAAGATACAAAGAAAAGCAAAAGGCAGTCCTTCCCTTGAGGAATTCACAGCTATATACAGGATAAATTGGAAATAATCAACAGAGGAAAAGTATTAGAATTAAGAGAAAGTGGGAAAGGTTTCCTGTTGAAGGTGGGATTTCAGTCGGGAATTGAAGGTAGCCAGGAAAGGCAGGAAGCAAAGATGAGGAAAAAGAACATTCCAGGCAAAGGGGGACAGTCAGTGAAAATACCAGGAGTTGGGCGATGGAGTACCATGTTTTAGGAAGTAAGGTCAATGTCACTGGATCAAAAAGTACAGTAAAGTAGGAAGATTGGAAAGATAGGGCAGGGCTAAGTTATGAAGGGCTTTGAATGCCAAACAGAAAATTTTATATTTGATCATGGAGGCAATAGGAAGCCACTTAGGTTTATTGAGTAGGAGTTGGCATGGTTGGACCTATACCTTAGGAAAATCACTTTGTTGGCTGAGCAGAGAATAAACTGTAGGGAGGAGATAGTTGTGTTGGGGAGACCAACCAGCAGGTTGTTGCAGTAGTCCGGGAGTGAGGACATGAAGGCCTGCATCAGGGTTGTGGCAATATTAGAGGAGAGAAGGGGGGCATATTCAATAGAGGTTACAAGGGTAAATCAACTGGCTATAGCAACACGTTGGATATGGGAGGAGAGAGAAAGTGAGGAGTCAAGGATGACTGTTAGTTTAGGAGCCTGGGGCATCAGGAGGATAGTGTTCTGGGCAGTAATAGAAGTTAGGAAGGGAGGAGGGCTTGGGAGGAAAGATCATGAGTTCACTTTTGGACATGCTGAGTTTAAGATGTCTGTAGGACATCTAGATGCCTAATGGGCAAGTTGGAGATGGGAGACTGGAGGTCAGCAGAGAGGTTAGGGTTGGATTAAGTAGATTTGAGAATGAGCATAGAGATGATAATGGAATCCATGGAAACAGATGAGATCACCAAATGAACTAGTATAGAGGGAGAAGAGAAGAAGCCCCATGGTTAGTAAGCTAGTGACTTAGTGACTTAGATGAAGATCCAGCAAAGGAGATGGACAAGGAGTGGTCAGATAGGTAGGAGAACCAGGAAAGAATGGTTTCCTGAAAATCCAGAGAGGACATCTATCAAGGAGAAGAGGGTAACTGACAGTGGCAAAGCCTATAGAAAGGTCGAGAAGGATGAGAACTGAAAAAAGGTAATTGGTTTTGGCGATTAAGAGATGGTTGGTAACTTTGGAGTGAATTTGGTTGTTGAGGTTGGAAGCCTAAAGACAGTGTGAGAGGAGAGGAAGTATCGATACCTGCTCTGGATGGGAATCTCAAAATGCTTAGCCATAAAAGGCAGGAAAGATAGGGGCAGATATCAGCAGGGCTGGATGAGTCAATGAGGATTTTTTAAGGATGGGGGACACATGGGTAATAGAGAAGCAGCCAGTAGACAGGGAGAGATTGAAGATAAGTATGACTGTAGGGATGACTCAGTTTTTCAGTAAAACCTGAGGCAAGATGTTTAGCTGAGAGGTGGGGGTAGGGTGAGCAATGGGGGCTTTGAGGAGAAATGAAAAGTTTTGGAAGAGCTGCTATGGGAAGTGGGATTGTGAGTTAATTGGGGAAATGTAAAAGGATTGCTTAGTAGTGGTGAGGGCCCAATTGATGTTACATAACATAAATTTGTAGTGGATCCCGTTAGGATGGTTGCATGATTTTCTCCACCTTCATTTAGCAGTATGTGTGTAGGAACTAAGGCAGTAGGTGGGGGTGTAGTACAAGACTGAGTTTTGGTAGGGTATAATCAATGATATTATGAGGGGGGTAAAAGACTCAAGAGAAGAGGGTAGTGTAGACTGGAATATGTATGGCTCACCAAGAGGTCAAGATAGGGAAAGGAGGAAGGTGTAGCTGGTTTAGGAGTGGTGGCCTGGGAAAGAACTGAGAGGCCAAGGGGTTGGAGGTCATGGCATAGTTGAGAACAGGGATTTTGGTATAGTAAGGCAGAGAGAAATCTGGAATTCTAATAGATTATGGTCAGATAAGAGAATTTCTGAGTTCATAAACATGAAGGTAGTTATTTGTAGATGATGGCAAGATCAATGGTCACACATCTTTGTGTGTGGCTGATGTGGGTTGCAGGTGTAGCTCATGGGAAATGCAAGCCAAGTAAGTTGATGAACTGGGAACTTCCTCCAAGAAGCTTTCCCTATTTTTGTCTTTTCTTCCTCCTCCCTCTATGGCCTTTCCTTTCTTCAGGCTTCTGGTAGCACTTTATTTGTACTCTTGGTATGATATACTTTTGTTATGTACTCTAGGGCAGTATATATCTGTCGTCTCTCTCTACAAGACTATACATGCTCCAAAAGGACAGGGAATCTTTTTTTCATCTAAAGTTTGCATCTTATTCAGTGCCTAGTACAGTTCTTTGTGTACAGTAGGATGTTTTATCAATATTTGAGCTAATTAAAAATATAGGTTGAACCAATTTTTAAAAAATAGCTAAACAAACCCCAAAACAAAGGGGCAGCTAGGTTGCACAGTGGATAGAGCATTCAACCTGGGGTCAGGAGGACCTGAGTTGAATCCATGTGGCAGACAGTTACTAATTGTGTGATCCTGGGCAAGTCACTTAACCTCCATTGCCCCCAAAAACAAAAACAAAAACAATTTTAAAAAATAGCTGCAATACCCAGACTTCCACTAGATGGTGCTGATTATCACAGAAGAGAAGCAGTTCCTAGCCTTATTTGGCTTTGTGTCTACTCATTAGCAGCAGGATTAGTTAGGGCTTTTTATCAATGCTGTAGTTGCTTGTGTGTGTGGCCTTCCAAGGAGCTTACTCAGGACTACTTTGGGGTCTGGGCCCAAAGCTTTTCTTGCTACCGTGGAAATGGTGAAAGAAATGAAAGTATTAGCAAAAAGCAATAAAAGCTATTTCCAAGGCTCCATCGGCTTCTTCAGCCTTTTTGAAAACCTGAAGGGTACCAAAAGGAAAGGAAAAAAACTTCATACACAAGGCTTACAGAGAGCAAGGAAGCAATAGAATATTTGGCAGAAACTGGGGTTTTTATATGGTTTAGAGAAATAATTATGGAATAGATAACCATTAACTGAGACAAAATGTAAGTTGCACAACTAAGAAATCAACAATATTATAGTCTAAATTTAAACTGATAGGCAATTTTTAGCTCCTTTCTTCTTTTCCAGAATTTTTTTGTATTCTAAGCACTTAGCACAGTGCCTGGCATATTTGTTGTTGTTGTTCAGTCATGTCCTATTCTTTGTGACCATGTTTGGGGTTTTCTTGGCAAAGATACTGAAGTGGTTTACCATTTCCTTCTCCAGCTCATTTTACAGATGAGGAAACTGAGGCAAACAGTTGAGTTACTTGCCTAAGGTCACACAACTAGTAAGTATCTGAGGCTGGATTTGAACTCAGGAAGATGAGTCTTCCTGGCTGGATGGGCGCTCAGTCCACTTTTCATACTTGGCTGCCTCTGTGTGGCACTTAGGAGCCACTTATGGACAATTACAACTCCTACAGGTTAATGGTTGGAAAGAACTGGACTTGTCTGAATAGAGCAAAACTACTTTGGAAGAGTGGGTAAAAGGATTAGTGAGAAAAAGTGGCTCAGTAGCACAGGCCTTTTATTGTCAACTCTCCATCGAAAGATAAATTTAATAAAACAGTCATCTATAACAAGAAGCAATGGTTCAACAAATTCAATTCAGAGAGCACTTCTCTTGTTTCCTGGTAGTGGGGAGGCCCCTGAGGGATAATTAAACCACGGTTTAAGCTATTTACAATCCTAGAAGAGAGAAGGATTAAGTTTTTTATGCCACAGTCATCAATATTAAAACTTCAAGGTAAAGTACTCCTTTTTAAGGATTTTCAGTTAGGTGGCTCAACATAATTAAGAATTTTGTCGTTGGACAGTCTCTATGCATACATAAATGAGTAGAAACATGCATTTAAAATGTTTACATATATATACATATAATACATATATACATACACACACAAGGTGTCCAAAAGTCTTAGGGTACAGTTTTAAGCTTTAACTTCACTAAGACTTTTGAGACATGTTATATATGGACAAGGTTGGGGTTGGATAGTTTAGGAACACAAAAATTATTTCCTTTCTCTTTTTCTTTTCCACAATTGTGATAATAAACTCATTTTCAAAAAAAGTCATACAAAGATCTCTCTCTATCCTCTGTGAAGTTACCTAAAATCTTCTTTAATGTGTTTTCAGACCCAACACCTTTGGTGGGAGGTTAGCAGAGGAACTATCTCCAATAGTTAAATGGTATAGGGAAAGACCTCTTGACTGCCTTTTGCTCTGGACATCTTGTCACATCCAGACCAGGTTTCTCTCCCTCCCCCCAGGAGGAAACAACCTAGGGTGGGTCTTGTTGGTTTCTAAGGCAACCTTTCTTCTTCAGTCCAGAGTGGTGAGCTTTTTGCATAGTGGATAGGACAGCGACTGAGAACAGTTAAACCCCAGAGACAGAAGCTATCTGTTATTCATCTTGGGTCCCGGCGGTTCTCCACCTGCGGGGGGGGGGGGTCTCTGGGGGGAGATGGGAACCGCTGGTGTTTGCCTCCAGGGAGTTTAAACAAAAGGAATTTAGGGGAATTATTCAGTTTTCTCTCCCCGCCCTCCCCAGACTTTTTTAAGCAATCCAAAAACTCTAGACATTTATTTGAAAAGTGTTCTAGGGAACATACCCTGAGGTCAGCTATACCTAAGATCAGTTAACTACTGAGAAGCCTTGGAGAGGGAAAAGCGACCGAATGAGGCGGGGGCATTTTCCCAATTCTCCGCTAAGGCTTATAAGCATTCTTCTTCCCGGATGGACACCCGAAGTGTACAGAAAAGTCAGATTCAGGTCCAGTTCTGCCACGTCAAGAGAATGATCAAACAGGTTTGTAAACCGTAAAGTGCTGTATAATAGTAGTAACAGCAGCAATAACAACTCTCCTCTTTCCCATTCTCACTTTTGAGAGTTTCCCAGCCGAATTTACAGGCAAAGAGGTAGGGATTATCTTCCAGCGGGTCGGAGTTTCCTAGGCATTCCCTGGGCCCGGCCTAAGCTTAGCTTGGTTTTTCTCCTTAGGACCCAAAGTGGTAAAGTACTAGGGAGGAACTGGGGGGGCGGCCTAACTGAGTGGCCTTGACTACTACGCTTGCCCTTCTGAAACGGGACGGCCGTGCTGCAGCTTTGCAAGCTTCCTGGCTGCCTAGCAAAGTGGCCCCTCCTTCTGCTTTCCCCCAGTGCAGCTCGGCCCAAACTCTCTCTCCCCTCTGGCTTGCAACCTCCTTCCTCTCTCCGCCCCGGCTAGAGAGGAAGGAAACTAATCGAGCTCAAGCTGTTTGTATTTTTTTTTCCACTTCAGGGAAGGCACGCTCCCTCCGGAGAGGCAGGCGGGAGGATGGTCAGGGGCCAGTAAAGAGAAGGAGGAGGAGGGAGGGAGGGAAGGAGTCCCAAATAGCAGCTGCTAAGGTTCAAGTCCCAGCCCGCCCCAGCCCAGCCTAAGCGCAGGGCGACTGAAGTTGTACCTGGACTTCCTGAGCACCATCAAGCGAGGGAGACATTGCGGAGGCTGCTGTTGGGCTAGGAAGACAGAAGAAGAAGAAAGCAAAAGCTGGGCAAGCGAGGGGAAAGCAGGCCGAGCCGGGACGTTGGGAGAGCAGAGCAGTACCAGCTCTAACGGGATGAGAGAGTGGCCCTCGGAGCATTCATACAACACCCTGCCCACAGCTTTAGAGAGGTGGCCAGAGAGGCATACCCATGGTTCCACACTACTCCCCCTTCTCTCCATTGACTCGTCCACCATTCTCTTGCAGGTCCTCTTCATTTCACACCTAGACTACTACAAGAGCCTGTTGGTGTTCCTGTGCACTAAAGTGATTTTCCTAAAGTGCAGAACCATGTCCGACCAGGTCATCACCACCCTACTCAAAACACACCAGTGCCTTCCCTATTACCTCGAGGATCATATATAAAATCTCCTGTTTCTAGTCTTCTTAGACCTGACTCTCTCCCTTACCCTCCCCCAATATTCTTTGATCCAGTGACACTGGCCACCTTACTATAAAGTCGAACCCGGCACTCCATCTCCTCCATGCGTTTTCACTTGCTTTCCCCCATGCCTAGAATGTTCTCATCTCCATCTCCTGCTTTCTTTCACATCCCAGCTAAAACCCCATCTTCTACAGGAAGCCTTTCCGGACTCCCCTTAATGCCTAGTGCCTTCCCCTGTTGATCATATCCAATTTATCCTATATCTTATCTTGTTTGTACACGGCTTGTCTGTATATTGTCTCTCCATTAAGACTGTGAGCCCCTTGAGGTCAGGGACCGTCTTTTGCTTTGATCAACATGTCAGGCATAGTACTAAGCACTGCAGATGAAAAGACTTGTAAAGGACAGTCTCTGCTCTTCAAGGAGCTCACAGTCTGGTGGGGGAGACACTGCTCACAACTGGGCACAAACAAGCTATATACAGAGTAAGATTGTAAATAATCAACAGGCCTTAGCGGTTGCATCCCCACAACACTTATCACCTTGCCCGGCGAATAGCAGGTGCTTAATAAATGTTTACTGATTCGTGGACTAAGCACACACAGTCAACGCACCCACCCACGCTGCCGGGAGCCCTTGGAGCTGCAAGGGCAGAGCGGATAGTTGGAAGGTTTTACTTGGGAGGAGTTGGGGAAAGAGGCCTCCCGGCCCCTTCCCCTCCCCTGCTCCACCCCTCCAGTCGGGCCCCGCCCTCCCCGCCAGCCCCAGTTCCGTGCAACCTCCTCCTCTCCCCCCTCCCCCTGAGGAAGCGCCCGGCTCTGGGCGTAATCTCGCCCCTCCCCCTCTCTCCGCGGCTCCTCCTCCTCCTCCCCTCCCTCCCCTCCGCAACTCGCGGGGCCGGGGCAGCAGAGAGCGGGAACCTCCTCCCGAGCGAGCCTGGCGGCCGCGGTGCTCCCACCCCTCCTGGCCAGCCCTCGCCGGCGCCTCCAAGCTGCCCACCCCGTTTTTAAGAAGGGGGGAGGGGAGGGGGTCGCGTCAGGATGAAGGAGCCGCTGCTCGGGAGCATGGCCATGCCGGGCAAGTCCCTGCAGAAGGCTTGCCGGCTGCTCGTGGTCTTCTGCGCCCTGCACCTCCTCGTCACGCTCTTCTACTACTTGTCGGGCCGCGATTTCGACGTCCTGCAGCTCTTCTCCAAGCACCAGCAGAGCCAGGAGGGCCGCGGCTCCGTGCCGGTGACCGTGACCGAGGTCGCCCGAGAGGCGCTGGCAGCCTCGATGGCGGCGGGGTTGGAGAAGCCGGCCGGAGACCCGGCGCCGCAGCCCGAGGAGGCCACGGAGAGCATGGAGACCGGGCCGCCCGGCAAAGTCCGGCCGCTGCCCAGCTGCCCGGACCCCTCGCCGCTGCTGGGTAAGGCGCCTCGCCCCCACCCGTCGTCCTCCACTCTGGCTCCATCCCGGACTCAGCAAGCCGAGCGGCGGGCCCTGGGAGCTGGAGCCCCAGCTGGATGGGGCCGTCGGGGGGAAGTCCCTGCAGGGGGCGTGGAGACCTGCGGGGTGGGGAGAGAGGCTGCGAGCCCGGAGCCCCGAGCCCGGGGGCTACGCTGGATCTGGCCCGGCGAGCTCGGCTGGGCTGGGGCTGCTAAGGGAAGGAGGCTCTGTCCTGCTGCCTGGGGGGCGTGCGTGGGTGTGTGTGTGTAAGCAAGCGCGTGATAGGGGCAATATGCAGAGCTCACTTTATTCCGGCTGCGAGGCTCCCCTCTAACCTTGTTTTCAGCCCATCCTTTTTCTTTTCCGTTGGTTCTCGAGTTTTTCTCTTTCTCTCTCTCCCGTGTGTGTGTGTGTGTGTGTGTGTGTGTGTGTGTGTGTGTGTGTGTGTGTGTGTGTGTATGTGAGAGAGAGAGAGGTGGGAGAATTTTGCCAACATAACTTTAATGCTGGCAGCAAAACTCCATTCTGTAGCCTAAGCTCTCTGCTCATCCCATTTGTCCTTCGTTACTGGGTTGTGTGTGTATGTGTGTGTGTGCGTGTGTGTGTGAATGTGTGTGTGTATATATATGGAGAGAGACAGAGACAAAGTGAGCGTAGTGGGGGCGATATGTAGACGACTTAAATACTGGCTGCAAGGCTTCCGTCTACAGTCAGTCCTGTTATCTGCCCATCCGTTTCCCCCGTTGGTATTTGTGTGTGGTGGGGGGGTGAGGCAGTGGAGACGTAACTTAAATCCTGGCTGCAACTCTTCCCTTGTTTTTTTTGTTTTTTGCTCATCCCAATTCTTCTCCCTCCGTTTTCAGGTTTTGAGTACATACGTGTTTGTAAGTGTGTTTAGTGGGGGGCCGCAGTGTGCAGACAGATATCCCTTCAATCCTGGCTGCAAGGCTCCCCGACATAGCCCTGTTTTCTTAACATCAAGCTTTTTTTTCTGTCGGTTTTTTGAGTTCCCTCTTCTGTTAAGTGTGACACCCCAAGGCTCCTGGCGTAGGTTTTTTAAATTGGTTTTTCAGTTGGATTTTGGATTTTCTTTTTTTGCCTACCCCCCAAAATTCCAGTGCCCTTCCCCAACGATGGTAAATCAGCAACGTGCTGTGCTAGTAAACCACCGGCTTAGGCCAGTGTGAGAGGGACACTCTCTGTCTCTGCCTCTCTGCTTCTCTCCCTTTCTCCCTCTCTTTCTCTCTTCCTCCCTTCCTCCCTTCCTCTCTCCCTCTCTCCCTACCTAAAACCTGAGTGGAGTGTTAAAACTTTAAGGAGGGAAGAAAAGCATTTCAAAGATCTTGAGCTGATTTTTTTTTTGTTTATGGAATATCTAGCAGTCCAAGCCCAACTAAGGTGGAAGTCTGAATCACCTGGACATTAATTTTTGTGCAGAAACCACTCCGATAAAGGAGTTAAGTAAAAAAAAAAGAGCTTAAATTCTTTTGATTTACCCAGACTTTTCTTTGATTGCCTCCCAGGAAAAAAAAAAAGGCAGCCCAGTAAGGGTGCTTAGCTTGGGTATATTTTCCTACAGTTTTCATTTTCTCCATTGAGATTTTTAAAAAATTTTAAGAGAGTTTCTGGAGCATCTTATGAACCACATTCCAAAAGACCTTCCGGAAACTTGTTACTTCATAATAGGCTTCCAGAAAGCTGTTGCTCAACTTTTTTTCTGTAATTACTTCGATACTTTTCTGTATGTCCTGTCCTCATTATTTTGCACAAGGAGACAGGCAGGCAGGTTTAGTTTACAAAGTGTCCAATCCTGGTTTGGATACTTTTCTTGCTTGTGAGTTTGGGCAAGTCAACTCCGTGGACCTCAGTTTCCCTATCTTTAAGGAATACAAATACCTCACAGGGATGGTGTTGTGGATCAAATGAGAATGTTAGGGCCGGTACTATAGAAATATCAGCTGTTTTTGTGGTAGCGGTCATCTTGAGACTTAACTGAAAATTTTAGAACTTAATTACTAGATTGATCTGCTAAAAGCTTTAAACAAACAAACAAACGCATACAATCAGGTACTTCTCTTGAGGTGCTGAATTCCAGTTCGGAAGATTTTTGAACAGTAAAACAATCTTGAGAAATAAGCAACTTTTAAAGGGGAAGTGGGTGGGAGGAGAAAGACAGAAAGAAACCAGAATTTTTGAGTGAACAGTGTGTAACTAAAAATTCAGTTGAGAGTTGTCTAGAATTACATTGGAAATATTGCCAAAATAAGCACTTGGGAACAAGGGAACAGGTTAGTGTCATAATTTTGGTTAAAATCAGAACCGTAGTGTTAAAATGCTATTTGGGGTAGATGGTATAGTTAAAAAAAGTTTTCCTAAGAATTGGTTTGCTTTTTTTTTCCTATTGCTGCATTTCTTGTGATCAGTTTTTACTTATTTTCTAACTTAGTGCGTTTTGAAAACTTGATTACTCTGGAAAGAGTGCATGAAGTCCATTAAGTTGCCTTTGTGTGACAAACATTAACCTGTTCAAAATTTATGCAATTAAATTGTTTCATTTAGCCTCACCTTGTGGAGTTCAGTCATTCAGCATTCTTGGATAAGGGGATGAAAGTATTATCAAGTATCTGCTGAGGAACTTCTGTTTCTCAATTTTATCCATTTGAAGGATTTTTAGTCAGGTTTCATGTGGTTTCAGATGTTTGCCTTTGTGCTGCAGGCTAATAAAAATTCATCTTATTTTTGAACCTAGAAGACAGTCATGGCTTCGCATTGCTGTGAAGTAAGGCATATGTTGGTTGATACCTTGTGGGGTGGTTTTGAGGTTGGTAAGAGAAACCGTACACAGGTTTTGTTGTGGCTTTTTTTACTTCTTACAATTTCTTTCCCTAGTACGATGGCCATTGCAGCCTTTCTATCATGTCCTGTCTGCCCAAAGCTTCATTCGACCAGTTAATGTCACAGTTTCACCTCATGAGTTGTTAAACCCTACAATGAGGAGTAACTTATTCATTTCTTATTTGTTCCTTTTTCTATTTTACAGAATCTTTTAAAAATATATTATGGCCATTTTAGTTTTAGATTTGTCATTTCCTCATTTCCCCTCCCCAATTAAACACTTCCTTGAAACAAAGTGTCTAAGCAATGACAACAGACTCAGTACTAAGTCTTAGAAGTATACCAAATTCCATATTACTCAACATCTTAGCCCCTTCTATGTGCTGAGCATTGTGCTAGGCCCTAGGGATACAAAGATTAGAAATATGGAAGACTTTCCCTTTGAGGAGTCAGGCCAGGATATTGATGTCCAATTCCATCCGAGGAGACAACATTATACAGGAATGCAAGGTAAAATTAAGTAGTTTGGGGAGCTAAAGAACTAGCACTTTAAAGGCAGAGAGGGGATCAAGAAAAGCTTCATAGATAAAAGGGGCGAGGGTGCTTGAGCCAAGTCTTGAAAGGCTTTTCTGAGAGGTAGAGGGGAGGAGGTAGTGTATTCTAATCGAGGGGAACCAAGTGTGCAAAGACATGGAGAAGAGATAGTGTCTTTGTAAGGAACAGTTTGCCTGGAATAGAAAAATAGTAAATCTAGAAAAGTAGGTTGGGGCCTGGTTATGAAGGGCCCTAAAGGCCAAATGATATTTTTTCCTAGGAGCAATAGGGCAGGACTGGAATTTTTTGAGCAGAGGAGTGACACAGATCTGTGGTTTAGGATAATCATTTTGACAGTAATGGGTTGAGAGATTGAGGCAGAAAGATTAATTAGGAGGCAATTAAAGTAGTGGCTGGGTGTGAGTAGGGAGAAGTCAGTCAGATGCAAGAGTTTTTTATAGGCAGGAATAAGAAGATTTCAATCAACAAACCTTTATTAAGTGCCTACTATTTGTCCCACACTGTGCTAAGCTTGATTTGTGGAATGAGGGAGAAGGAAGATTTGAGTGTGATTGGGTGAATGGTTTGGTGTTTCAAAGCCCTTTATGACCTAGCCACCTCTTATTTTTTTTCCCATCTTACACCAACCTCTCCCTCCCCACTCTTTGATCCAGTGACACAAGGCTCCTTGCTGTTTCCTTAACAAGACATTCCATCTCTCTGCTCTGGGCATTTTTTCTCTGACTGATAACCATGCCTGGAATTCACTGCCTCCTCATCATCCCCACTTCCAGAGCTTCCTTCAAATCCCAGTAAAATCTGCCTTCTAAAGGAAGTCTTTCCCTGTCCCTCTTAATTCTAGTGCCTTTTCTCTTCTGATTTTTCCCATTTATCCCATATGTAGTTTTATATATATTTGTTATTATATTTATTATTTGTACATATTTCTTTGTGTGTTATCTCCCCACTTAGATTGTGAGCTCCTCCAGGGCAGGGATTGCCTTTTGCCCCTCTTTGTGTCACTAGCGCTTGGCACAATTCCTGACGCATGTTGTTGTCGTTGTCCAGTCATGTCCAACTCTTCATGACCGCATTTGGGGTTCTTTTGGGCAGAGATACTGGAGTGGTTTGCCATTTCCTTCTCCAGCTCATTTTACAGATGAGGAAACTGAGGTAAACAGGGTGTAGTGACTAGCCCAAGGTCACACAGCTAGTATCTGAGGCCTGACTTGATCTCACAAAGATGAGTTTTCCTGATTCCAGGCCTGACGCTCTCTCCGCTTCAACACTTGGCTTCTCTGGCACATAGTAGGCATTTAATAGATGATTATTTCCCACTGACTAAATTAGAAGGTTTCGATGAAGATAGGTAGAGTTCTGTTTTTGACATGTTGAGTTTGAGTTGCTTATAGGACACCCAGTTCAAAATGTTTAGTGATGTAGAGTTTGGGAGAGAGTCTGGGACTGGATTTATATATCTGGGAGTCATCTGCATAGCAATGATAATTACAGCCATGGGGGTTGACCTAATGAGAGAGGATATAGAGAAAGGAAAACCAGAACACAGAGCCTTGGGGGTGTTTGGTTTGGTGGGTGGGGGTCTACTCCCAT